ACACACACGCCCCTCTGAAGAAGCCCCGGCCATCGGGGGGAAACGCGTCAGGATAGCGTGTGTTTCAGCTTCTCTAGACACCCTGTGCTGACCTCTATACGTTCGGGTGAGAACGATAAACTACGAATCTCTACAGCCACCGAAGGGAGTGGACCTATCAAATCTGATGCGGACATTGCCGCACGTAATGATAGCGGCTTCTGATTGCTACAGCCAGGCCGGGGATACAGGAGTGAGCGTTTGTCCATTACAGCGAAGGCACTGAATCGGGAGACATAGGCGAGCCAATGCCGGTGTGATTATTTGCAGCTGCCATCCCGTGCCGTCCCATTGGACACACTACTGCGGAAACCTCACTATACTCCACTCATCAGCACGTTCGTGCATTTTGAAAACCCTTCTGGAGGCTCTTTCTTTTGGGGTGATAACCCCGCGTCTCGGACAGCGGTGGGAGTCCTAGTTTACCAAGGAAATAGATCCCATTCAGTGACATTGTTTCACAAGGATACTCTCTTGCCACAACCAACTTCATGCATGTATCGTTGTGGGGTCTAACCAGGACTATTTTTTGCCGGCTGCGTACGTGAGTACAGCTCCGTTTTTCTTTCTGGGTGATATATCTCTTTTGTTTTTTTCACTCATATCAGAGACTTCCTACCCCATAGGAGATTCAAATGCTCAATACCCGTATCTTTACATTCAGGTGATTCTAGGGAAGCTTTTTAATTGGTTTTAAATGTCTTGTTATAGGTGTCTTTATATGAATTAGTATTATTAAACTTTGTTATATTATATTAATTACACATTGTGATCCATTTATCAGACCATCTCCACTTTTAGGGATTTCTTGTTCAAAGGGGATTGTATTTTTTTGAATCTAATATCTTAATTTATTACTGTTACTGCATACCTGGAAGTCTGTACTACTAATACACCTAGTTGGATCTCTCCTGGGGCTTTTGTCCTAATTTTTCCTCTTTTTTTTTGAGTTATTCTGTCTTCCCCAGTAAATAACAGGTTGGCAGCAACACAAGAATGCTCAAGAAACCCAAGCTTTAAATAGGGCCCTATTAAATAACAAAACACAGAAGTGTATATCCAATAAAATTTATAAAATTTATAAAATTTATAAAATGGTATTAATTTCAATTTCCTCATTGAGACCTATTGGAACCAAGGTGTTTAGCTTGTATATCCAATAGGTCTCTCTTTTGCAGAGGAGATGGAACCTTTCTGAGGAGGATAATGAGTTAGATTTTTTTTTTTTTTTTATAAATTTTATTGGATATACACACTAGGCACACCACCATCTAGATCCTTTCCATCTCTTATTGTTTTTAATCTCACACCACCAGATCCTACTAGATGGGTGAGGTTCCTTTGAATTGCACCTAGTGTTCAATGTTACACCAACATTGGATACTTTTATTCACCATTTTTTTATTCAATTATCTATTTTTTAAACAATGTTAGACTTATAATAAATGATGATTTTTAGCTTTGACATCCGTTTTTATACATGTTTCCATAACACAATACCAGATCTAATCCTTTTATACCCTTGAGCCACGCAAGTGCCGTTTCCTAATTGAGTGGGCGGGTATTAACATACTCCCCTTCTCACAATTCTACCTATTAGGAAGGCTGTTGAGATCCTAACTCCGCCCAGTTGCCATTTTTAAACTCAAGTGTTTCTCCCGCAATCTCCACCTAATTTGGCCGATCACAGCTTGACAAAGAGGCTCCGCCTCAAAACGCGTAGCTACCGACCCAGTTTGCATCAGTCCCCGATACTCCTTTGACCTCTTCACAACTTCCGCCGCCACCTGCCTCCCGAGCCACCACACGAACCACTGCTCTGCCTCCCGAGCCTACTGACAGGAAGCCGACATCACACAGCGCTTCAGACATACAGTGCCCATGACCACAGCGGCTCAGCCTGGCCAGCTGAGTTTGTGCAAGAGTCTGTTGTCCCTCCGTTTGCAGCGCTCGGCGACAGAGGCAGATTACTCACCAGATTACTGGACCCTCCAGGGCTGTATTCACCTAGACACCAAACCGGACGTCTTCCCACAGACGACTTCTCAAATGTGAGTCCTCCGGTATATTGCAACACAGTTGTAGAGCTCTCAATATATTCTTTATTCTGTTGTACCACAGGGCTCCTCTCTCTGTTTCAATAGAGCTCGCACACTGTACCCTCCACCCTTAGATCAAAACAAACACAAGTTTGTACCTCTTGGCAGTGCGCTTCATTTTGTCGTTTACATTTTGCTGACCTCTAACCACCACAGAATAAAATGAAAAAAACAACCACGCCGCCAATAATAAGAAAAAAGGTAGCAGTTGATTCTCCAAAAATCAAGCAATCTGAATTAAAGTACAACTTCCTAACTGGCTCTCATCTCTCCCTATGATGTTTGTTTGCTTTCCCTACAACAGCTTCCAATTCACTGACACTATAGCTGCTGTATGCCCTCCTCTTTTATAGTGAGGGGGCAGGCTTATCCAAAAGCCCCATTATTGGCTCTTCTAAGCCTGTCATCCACAACCATACAGTGTATTATGAGTTTAAAAAAAAAGATCCCAGATGAATCTGCACAAAAATGTGCCAGGATTGTGAACCTCAAATCTATAGGATTCACCTCAAACCCATGGTAGCAGTGAACCTCATCTCTACTTTTATGTAGCTGCCAAGGGAAGAGTGAAGGAGAATATTATCAAGTGTCACTTGAGTGACAGCTCGAAATCTGCTTGGGCTGCTGAGATCATATCCAAATTGGTGGCGTCCGGCAGTCTCAGGGCTTTTGAATGTCTACACAAGGCTTTTGCAGGTATCAAACATGCATAAAATATGTTGAATGCACATATAAACATATAAACTTAAAGCGGACCTTTAAACTCAAAAATCTAATTCTACCAATGCATCCCTCTATGTATGATGATTAATAATAACATAGACATGTCAGGTGTAAAATGCTGTGATTTTGAAATACTTACACTTGCAGAGCATTCACTTCCTGCTTTGAAAGTGCAAATACTTCAGTTTGCCAACGCAATGCACTCCGGGATTTCCTTGTCATCAGCAGAGGATTGCTATGAAATTCCATCTGTAATCTCATGAGATCCCAGGGGAAGGCATGTTCCTCCCCTGAGATGATGTGCATGGTTACATGTCCTAGTAACATGTCTTGTCATTTAAAGGTGTGTTTGTTGTTATTTTAAAGATATAGGTAAAGGTCCGCTTTAAGGGGAACCCTTCTGGCCAAGTGAAATCTTGCAACAGAGTCTCTTTAAAATGCAAATAAAGTAAAAAAAATTGCTGAAAGGTTGTATTTTTTGGCAGAAAAGACTTTGTAAGTCTTTATTGAACACTAGGGATGTCCCGATACCGATACTAGTATCTGTATCGGGGCCGATACAGGGCATTTTCACAAGTACTTGTGAAAATGCCCGATACATAGCGCCGATACCGGCACATTCATTTTTAAAATAGTTTCAGGCTGCCCAGAGGTACCACACTTGTTGGGGTCCTCTGGGCAGCCTGCCGGGCTTCCCGGAGGACCTCACAGAAGCTCCTCCCATGAGGTAAATGAGGACCTCACAGAAGCCCCTCCCACAAGACACACAGCACGGCCACGAGAGCTAAGGGGGATGACACTAAATTGGTACAGTCTTCTAGTAGACACCCCCAGCCTCTCTTCCTCAATTTCTTTTCGCTTTGAGGGTTCTAAACCTGGTGATACAAGGCTTCTAGATAGAAATGCCTTTTCACATAGTTAGTCAGGTTGAAAAAAGACACAAGTCCATCGAGTTCATTATAGAGAGAGCTTATAGATATGTCTATTTAATGACAAGGAATCACACCCTGTCTTTAGACAAGCCTGAATAAACTACAACAACAATGGATTTTACTTTGAGTCTTCTTGGTGAGTAGGGCCCGGGCCTGTAGATACCATCAGCTCAGTGGGTTGGGCCATACAGACTAGTTTCATTAGGTATGTTCTAATGCATAAAACGGTGGTTGAGACAGAACAACTTCCTCCCTCCGGTAGTTCCCGCCAAAACTCCCTTCCTTCCCCCAGTAGTTGTCACTGTTACCATTTATGTCCAACAAAAATCTCCACAGCCATTACCAAGCCCTTCCATCACAACGCAAGGTAAAACTAGGTAATCCCATCACAGTAAAACCTCATTAAATATGTTTGACTAATTCAGGGAAGAAAATAACATAATATGACTGTTTCCACATATACAAAATAAAACACTTTCAATTAACTAATTTATGGTGCAAATATTTCTTGTACGCAAATGTATTTTAGATTACTAGCAGGGCACTAAGAAACAATCAGGTTTTTTTGTGTGCTTTCTTTGTTGGAAATTAATATATTTTCAATTTTCATACCCAATTAGTCTTACCTCTTTGTTGTTTCTGTCAGCTTGCACTAAAGTTCCGTTCAGGCAAGGCTCTACATATTGAATGTCTTCATTATACTGTTAAAAGAAAAAATATAGAGGGAGGTTTGGTAAAAGGCCTCTTACATAGCCTTCTATATTTCACAACTTTCAGAGTTCAAACCAGTTGTATGAGCATCACTTTCTCTGGAGGTATGAAGCCGTTGTTGCAGCATGTTACTGCATGCCCTTTAACATGTATTATGCCGTGCATGAAAGTATATCTTAACCAAAAAAACAAACATTTCATATTTGTTTTACCAGTCCTTTAATCTGGTTTCTGTATTATTTTTCTTTTCTCATGTTTTTTATTTCTTTATTTTCACCTGGTGATCTTTGTTGTTACACACTTTCTGACTTAGGGTGGCAATGCTCACTTACCTATGTACTTATTGAGGAATAGTGTTGCCACCTTGAGCTGCTCTGCTGTGGACTATAAACACGTTCCCTACTCCTCATATCCATTACATAGAGAGGTAGTGCCATTGTTTAAGATTTCAGTTCAGTCCACAGGAAATTACAAAGACACAATAAAATGAATGCAGCATCATAAGGCGCAAGGACTGGTAAGCTGAAATATATTACGTCTTGGGTTTAGATACACTTAAACATGCCTTCAAGTAAGGCAGCCTATATATCTTGAATGGGCTGCCTATGGGCTATAATGAAGGTTTTAATGGATCTGTACTTTTTCAATGCACCATATCACAATGCATAAATGTAATACACTAAAATGCAGGAGGGTTGTGGTAAATTGAGTATGTATGTTGGGAATGCAATTCAAAATGAGTGACACATAACAAAGTGCACGGTGTATCTTCTGTTATGGCAAAGTGTGTTTTATCGTGTATGAATGTGAATCAGCCTAATGTAGCACTATTCGTGTTTGTCTCTTGTATCCAACCACCACCCAAAGAAAGAAAACATCAAGCAACTCATCAATGTAAAAAGTCAAAATACAAATTGACAGTTCACTGCAAGTGCACACAATACATTTTCCAGCATGTATTTGTGCCAACCAGCTAAAATCTGCTTTGAAATGTAAATAACGCAGAATTGTATTTATCAATAAATATCTATGGAATCCTCACTCCACTCTCAAGATGTCTTTACCCATTTGGGTCCTACTCTAATATCTGGAAATACTAACTGTGATGCATACAGTATGTAGGATTGACAAGACTGGATTTCACCCAGGTATGTCTCAATGAATGCCAACATCTGTCAGTAAATCCCAGTCCCTCTATGTCAATTTAATTAATTGAAACATAAACCAGAACGTATCACAAACACCTTATTTGCACGTTACGTTGCGCTCTGCTTTGTGTTTTTATTTTTACATGCTTATATGGCCTCTGGATATATAGAGAACTTGCAGGGATTGGCATATTCCATTTGTCTGCAGTGAAGCATAGTAGTCTGTGCTAAGGCCTATATCTTTTGATCTTCCCGCAGAATATGTTTTTTTAAATATTATGGAATAACAAAATACATGAATGATATAATAACCGATGGATGTATACAATCATATGAAATCACATC